CTCATCTTTCATTATCTTTAGGATTTTAATTAGCATCTGTTCAGTTTTTTTTCAGTTGTGTCTTTTTGAACGGTTTCTATGGAGAATTTGACAGGATCAGATAATATTGAAGATATAATCAAGGCGATCCATAAGGACAATTCCTGCACCTTTGTCTGGGCGACATAACACTAAGTCCTGATTTCTTCGAAGATCATTTAATTGAGATTTATGTTCTTTTGTGAGTAATCGACTAATTGTAGGTGTTTTACTTATATATTGATTACATCAGTCTGCAAGAGTTGCTTTGAAATGTTCATAATCTTTATTAGATATTGGAATAAGATCATTAGTCAGACGAATGAGGCTTTCGAACTGTACGATTTTTGCTAACAATATCAATATAATCTTTGGATTTGAAATATATTTCTTTACGTTTACATACATTATTTGATTCATCAAAAGATCAATGTACAGAAGTCGTGATCTTGAAATTAATGAAAACTTTGAAACAGACGGAGATTCAAGCTTCTTTTCCTGAATCTCCAGAGAAATATGTTTTCAATTACTCAAGTATAAAATTATCGACTAATCAACTACAAGCATTATCCCTTGGTCCTTAATTTTGTAGTACGTCTACAAACATTAATGAGCTCAATGCTAAAATCCAGTTCGAAAGCCTCATTCGTCTGACTAATGACCTTATTCCAATATCTAATAAAGATTATGAACATTTCAAAACAACAACTCTTGTAGACTGATGTAATCAATATATAAGTAAAACACCCACAATTAGTCGATTACTCACAAAAGAACATAAATCTCAATTAAATGATCTTCGAAGAAATCAGGACTTAGTGTTATGTCGCCCAGACAAAGGTGCAGGAATTGTCCTTATGGATCGCCTTGATTATATCTCCAAAATATCTTCAATATTATCTGATCTTGTCAAATTCTCCATAGAAACCGTTCAAAAAGACACAACTGAAAAAAAAACTGAACAGATGCTAATTAAAATCCTAAAGATAATGAAAGATGAGTCTATTATCAATTGTGACCTCTATGAACATCTCAAACCAATCGGGTTCCGTTATACCAATACTATATGGACTCCCAAAAGTTCATAAGAATAATGTCCCTCTACGTCCTATACTTGATATGAACAACTCTCCTTATCACTTGATCGCTAAATGGTTAGTTGACATTTTACAACATGTTAGAAATCATATCAATGAACACAATTCTCTTGATTCCTTTGAATTTTTCGACTCAATCAAAAATGTCAACGTAATTGGTAAGAAAATGATCTCATTAGATGTCACTTCGCTTTTTACAAATGTTCCGCTCACAGAAACTATATGTCTTTTATGTGACTATATTGAAAACAACAACCTTGATATGTGTATCCCAAAACATTATCTTAAAGAATTACTTCTACGATGTACGCTCAACGTGCAGTTTAGATTTAACAATGATTTCTATAGACAAACAGATAGACTTGCAATGGGTTCTCCATTGGACCCTCTCTTGGCCAATTGCTTTATGATCAATCTGGAAAATTCTGTACTTCGTCCAATAATTGAGAGATTTCATTTATATAAGAGATATATGGATGATACTTTCATTATTTGTGAAGAAGACATGGACCTAAATGAAATTTTGAAAAGTTTCAATAACTGTCACCCCTCAATTCAATCCACCTTAAAAGCAGAGGCAAATAATAAATTTCATTTTCTTGATGTCCGATTAAAAAGAATGCCTGATGGTTATTTACAGCGATCTATATATAGAAAACCTACCTAGAATGGGCAGTACACTGATTTCCATGGTTGGGTCCCGTTGAGTAGACAGAGGAACTTAATTCACTGTTTATCCTCTAGGATCAAGCGAATCTGTTCCACCGACACAATAGATGAGGAATTAATTCAACTTCGACAAACTCTCATCAGAAACAGTTGTCCACCTAGATTCGTCGATAGTAACTTAACACCTAGAATTCATCACGTGAAAGTATCGACAGTACAGAAGAAAACCTTGTTCATGAATATGGAATTTAAAGGAGACACGGCTGCTGAAATCTTAAATAAACGGAATTGAAAATCATTGAATAAAACACTCTACATAGCTAAGCTCCGAATTGTTTTCTCAAGCCGGCCTACCATTTCTGGATGTGTTAAAGATAAACTTCCGCTTTGGGCCACATCAATGTGTATTTATAAATTTACTTGCTCGTGTGGGGCTCGTTGCATAGGTCGCACAGAGCGATCACTATCCAAACACAGCTTGGATTTTAACAGGAGAACATACAACAATTACCAGTTCTATACAGGAGCATTTAGTTAACTGTGGACACATCGCTCCCAAGGATTCTTCTCTTAAAATAATCTAGAGAGTCAAAGGAATTGGAACGAAGGGGTGTCAAATCAATATTTTATGCAGTGCTGAGGCATTGGCATTTCACGAGCTGAAGCCTGAACTCTGCGTGCAGAAACGATTTGTCCAACCTCTCATCCTTTCTGGACGCTAATTCTCTTAAGGGGTATGTTCCTGGGTATTTTTTTGGTTTATTCTGCACTTTTATTTTATTGCTGTCGAATTTTGTAATAGTCTCCGAGATCAATAAATTTTGTTTGTTACAAATCTTAAATACAGAAGAGAAATATAGAACATTTGGCAACGTTGGAGCGAATATAAATTAGAACATCGAATCCGATGAATATTTGGAGTCATAAACTTTTATTTGGCTGGTTTTTTGGTTAAATTCTTGAAACGATTTGTAGTGTAATACTTACTCGGAGTCGATTGTTAAACGTTCTTCTCTAATTAATATGTATTTGGTGTCCAACCTAGTTATTCGTTCGTTCTCAGGAGCTTGTTTCTAACCATTCATTGATAAGGTGGCGGTCTTTCTAGGTGTACGTAATTGTTCAACCTACATCTGAAGCAGTTCACCAAATATATTATTATCACAACTTTGAATAAAGCTTTCCAGACCGACCAAGCTTTTGGAATAAATATACTAAGGATTTTCGGTGTTTCGACCCAAAAACAAGGACCGTATCTATATACATTACTATGTGAGTAGGATGCCATTTACAACAATCTATTTTCAAAGCATGTCAGCAAGTAATATTTTAGCGGAAATTCCATTATATGACTTCTGCCTCAACATAAGGTATCTAGACATTTCGCGATCTATTTTCTTTATGAGTCCTATACACTAATTCCCAAAGCCCCAGCTACGCTCATCCTAGTGGCTACATTCCGACTAGTTACTTTTTCAGGCTTGTTCATCGTCACAAATAGTTACACACACTTCGGCTCGTTTGTTAAATAAGTTATGAGATATCGAATAATTCTTTTATCTTGGTTTTAAAGTGATCTAGGCGTAAATCTTCTAGAAATCGTTCGTCATTTGTAGTGCCTCTGACGAACTAGATATACAGAAATTTTGTACAGAACTCAGTAACTACTCCCTTATCAATCCCGACCGATGCGTAATCTCAGTCCAGATACTCCTCTAGAAACCCTCTATCAACCTGACATTTAGATATGTCTTGACCCAGTATGTTTGAACCAGCTGCCATATTAGGCAATAAGTGAGTCATTAAGGAGTGAAAAAGCGTACTGTTAAACTCATAATAGTTTAATGGCATTATGTTTCAACATAATGTACAATAATCACTGTGTATACGCCGTTTTGACGGCACACAAACGCCATTGATTAGGGTGGAATATTTACAAATGTTAGTTCATAGAAAATGCAGTTCTATTCATGTTTTTAGTTGACAGCTTACGAAATATGTAATGCCTTGGTCAGAAGAGATCTGTTCACAGTGATAAATAAAACTGAGGTTACTTAGATCAGTTTTAAATCTCTGATATGTGATCGTGTTATTATTGGCCCATTTAATGAAAATCTATTCTGACCTCTTAGTTTTCAGTGAACATTTGACAAGATTAATACATACTAGTGAGACGGTATGCTGAATTCACTTTTAAAATCAGTATGGGGAACAATTAACTTATTAGAGTTGTGTAAAACCTTTCCTATAGGACTATAGACACCTTGTTGATAAGCCACATCTATCAACTTAAAAATTGCATTAATAAATAAAATCATTTTTTCCAGATTTAAAAAAAAAAGTAACAAGCACTTTAGATTACAAGGACAGTGATAGATAACGGATTTATTTTGTTTATTTATTTAACCACATTAATATTGGTATAAGGAGGCACCAAACAGATATGCGCCACACAAATCTCATTTGATATGTGTGAGGGCTGTGACACTGCACGGGTGCCCAAACAGAAGCGGGTTGTTCTCTTAGCGGGGGGACACCCCGAGCCTTTGACCTAAAGGTTTAATCGACAAGACAGCAGAGCATCGTAAGGAGATGCAGTCCCATAGTAGCCGGTGACCAACGATTGGTTCATAAGCAATTTTTTCCCTCAGAATACTGGAGTCAGCCCATGTGCAACATTGGTTTGGGATCGGGGTTAAGCACCGAACATTCGCTTTTCGTCCTCTCATTTTTGTAAACAACATTCCCGCCACGAGAAGGCAGTGAGTAGGACTTCCCTGGCAGAGGCTATATACGCGTGGCCATGTGAGAGCATTTCGAGAGGGAGAGTGGACTCTCCCCACTCTCGTCCATACCAGGGCATTTGTGGGCAATTAGTGGTACAGAAAAGCACCAAACAGATATGTGCCATGTAAATCATTCAATTTATGTGAGAGCTGGAATACTGCCTGAGTGCCCACACTAAAGAAGGTGGTTTTCTTAGAGGGCCACATTCGGAGCCTTTGACCTAAAAGTCTAATCCATAAAACAGTGGAACAACGTAAGAATCCTCCGTATCCACCAACGGATTTATTTAGTCATATATCGTACAAAGGATAGTACATAAATTAAATTAATCATTTATGTGGCGTATTCCACTATTAAATAATCATATATAACATTCAAAACAATTTCGTACTATAAATACGTCTATTGTAATGAATGAGAACACAAATAGGAATAACCAAATGTATTTGAATATATAAATACAGAATCTAAGAATCATACAATAAATACATCATTTGTAAAATGTCAATCAATCGTTTCAAACTTGATTATTCATTTATCATTATCATTATCAATCATTCTCTGTTCTCATCCCACTGTTAACCTTCTACCTACTACTTATATCTATTGATATCAGTAGTATACAACTTTACATTATCACTTACACTTTTTGTAAATAATTCATTAACTACTATTGATATAGACCGGTATATATATGAATTAGTTTTACAAAGAAAATAATAAATGTCGTTGTAAAATAAAACACAATAACAGTTTATATTGCCAAAAATGCCTGGATTTTTTTTTTGTTATTAATGAAGATGATAGTTATTTTTCCTTAGGGGGGTAGGGTGGGGCGAGGTTGGTTGGGTGGGTGTGTGGTGAAATAATGTCAGTTTAGTAATAAAAAAATATTCATTAAATAACAATAATAAATAATTATCAAGCATAATCCTTACCAAGTATTATTGTCTATTTATTCTCCATATTCATTGTTATCACCATGGTAACCATGATCACCATCATCATCGTATTATTATTATTATTATTATTATTATTAATTTGAATGTATAATAATTTGAAAATGTCCAGATAATACACGTTTACCTAATAATTTAGCCCATTCACGAAATATAGGAATAACTTGTTTATTTAAATATGAACGTAAATTATAAAGAGATATTGGTGTATGATTAAGAAAATCTTCTTTACGATTGATTGTCTTCGACGACGACAACGACGATGATGACGATGATGATGTATGGTTATTGTATTTTATATAAAAATAAATATGTGAATCTAATGTATCTATATCCATAGTAACTGGAATGGAATTTTCATCAATTGAAGATATAGATGAAAATCTTATATAATGATGATGTGATTTTAATTGATTTAATAATTGTATACAATCATTAATTGGTATCCAATGATAAGTTTCAGAACATGCTAAATATGCAGGACCATATTGTGATTTATATGACATTTTACAACATGAATGAATATAATAACCCATATAATATGAATTAAAATTTTTATATAATAAATCAGATTGAATTGAATTGATACCATAAGTATTAGATAAATAACGAACAAATGCAATTTCACTAAGAAATAAAAGAAACAAACAAACATACATACATCATACATACAATTGAAAGAGATATAACGAATAGTACTTCTCATATGAATTGAGCATAGAAATAATAAAAATTTAATAGCCTAGTGATTACTGGAGATCGACTGGATGATGAAGATGTCAATATATAGGGGCGGGGAAAAATGGGATACAGTAGATAGCTAAGATGAAGCTGGGATAATCTAGACTTCACAGATGATTCTAATATATCCAGAACAGAAATTACAATCGGTTTATATTGAAATGAGCCCACTCTACCTCAAAAAAATAAAAAAGCTCATATCACGTAACATACACATAAGCAGTGAGAATGTTGAGGTACTCTCAAAAAATTACTATAAAACAACTTTCTAGTAACTCAGCATGCTCTGGTAAAGCTAAGGGTGGGGGCGTCATCTCTCTCCAAACGCCCTTACATGACCACGCGTATACAGCCACTACCAAGAAGCCCTACTTATTGCCTTCTCGTGGTAGGGGTAACGTTTACGAAATTGAGAGGACGAAAATCGAATATCCGGCGCTTTACCCGGGTCGGTGGATATGGAGGATCGGTCTAGGAGAGTTGAAAAACCTTGATTCCAAATCAATGGTGCACATGGGCTCCAGTATCCTGAAGGAACAAATGGTGTATGAACCAATCATTTGTCACCGCTACCATAGGACTGCACCTCCTGACGTTGCCCCACTGCTTGTGGATCAGACCTTTAGGTCGAAGACTAGGGATGTGGCCCCCCCCAGAAAACCACCTGCTTCATCCTAGGCACCCGAGAAGTACCACACAATTTATAGTCAAGTTAATCGACATGAATATGATGACAATGAAGCACACTATTTAAAATAACTCTGTATTTTAATGACTCACCGTAAAGCAGTATATGTACCAAGATGAAGAAATGAATAGTTCGGATCATAGAAAACATAAACAGATGAAAGACATCGTGGAAGTAGATCGATAACACCGACAGCAATTAATTTTTCACCATCAAGCCAATATTGTTGATGATAAGAGCCAAACATTGGTGAAGTTGAATTCCATTCAAAATCATCCTTTAAAAGAAAATTCATTCTGTCATAGATGGGAAATTTGCACATGAATGTTAATTAATAATTTTTGTATACAATAATCATTCATAGTTGTATCGTCAAAGTATACATGGTTGATGATTACAGTGATAGGTACGTTTTACTATTAAAGTAAAAAAAGAAGTATGTGAAACACTTAAATGCATTTGAACAATGACCTCCAATACATCGGCATTCTACTTTAAACTTATGCATATGAACAAAGTAGTCTTGAATACAGTGAGAGGCAAGTAGACAGCTTGGAAGTGATAGTTATTTACATGGTAGAAGGGGGGCCTGAAAAGCGAGTTACGTTAAGTGCGATCTTGTCAATCCAGGAGTTATCGCAGAGTCCAAGGGACAATTACTTCAGGGAGGTCACATACAGGCTTTCAGAAAGTAGTTCTTGATATATCAGCTCTATATTATTCAAACCTTATTGCTTGGGACGGAAATCTGTGAAATAACCTGAAGTCAGCTATGTTTAGGGTCGACATTTTATAATGTAGATGTGGGTTTTTCAGAGGGAAATACATTACTTCCGTCACACCCGACTATAGTCAGTAGTACAACGTTAATCTTGAACCAATGGTTCCTCTGATTTCACACTTACTGCTCTCCAACCGGCCTCTTTGGTGTAGTATTACATAACATAACGAGGATTCCTACTAATATAGTTCGACTGGCTATCACAAATGATAAGACCAACCACTACGTCTAGGTAGAAGATACAGTTGGATGAAAACTACGTATAAATGTGTGTTGGTATCGTTACACATACAGTTTTAAGATAACATATATCATCTTTAACTGTTAGTTAGTTGAAAGTAATCAAAGGAAAACTCTAAATTTAGGTTTTAAGCTGGTTGATATTATTCATCTGGAATGTTAATCTACCATCTTGAAGAAGGTAAGTTCTGATAATTAATAAAAAAATTCAAACTTTCACCACTGAATGTCAATATCTATATAGATAACTAATGAGCTACTATAAAACTGGGATGTTTACATTGGTCGATAACTGACTAGTAAACAACGTTTTGTTGTCTATTCCCTAAGACTAATTGGATTTTATCAGTTCAGTTTTAATTTGATAACCATAAACCACATGTTGTTATAATTGAATTAATATTCGGTGATTAGAAGTAACTATGATTGCCCAGGACAGGGTTGGATGGAGAATGCTGATGAGCGGCCTATGCTCCTTCACGAGGAGTAACAGGCGTAAGTAAGTAAGTAAGTAAGTAAGAAGTAACTATATATTAAAACCGTTCACATCTATAGAATTTCAATTGATTATTAATACAAACTAAAAACTAATTTAAACAATTATAAAATTAAGATCAGAAAGGGTTTTTGTGGATATTATAGTAATTTTAATAGTTGAGATCATGAATCAATTGAAGCTAGACCATCATGGAAAATCTGAGACTCCTCCCCTTTTGATATTAATCAACATATGCTCACTAGTGACTGGCTTCAAGAGGTATTTCCTAGAGGTCTAGTGACCAGTGGAGATCAACTGGGTCTATTGTGAGATAGTAACTCACTGAAGACAATGGTGAATATGACATTCAATTTCGTGGATTAGTTGAAGCTAGACATTAACACGGTTGCATACTAGCTCAGTGGTTTAGAGGCTAAGCGTTCGCGCGCGAGACTGATAAATCCTTGGTCCGAATCTCACGAAGCAGGATCGTGGATGCGCACTTCTGAGGAGTCCCACAGTAGAACGAAACAGCTATCCAGTGTTTCCAGGTTTTCCATGATGGTGGTCTAGCTTCAATCGGCTCGTAATCTCAACTATTAAGATTAATTATAAAATTATACAGGATGATTGTTCACCATGCATTATAATATTGAACTAGAGAATTGATAAGAACTGGACAGAATTAGATAGACACTTTATTTTATCTTAAAACTATTCACAGAAAAGTAATGTATACTACTCACGATCCCGTTCCCAATCCCCCTAAACAGACACACACAGACACATTGTCATTGAAAGCAACATGTTGAAGTCTCATTATTGAATAAAATATCTTCAGACTATTATTATTATTATTATATCTCTTACCAATACTAATGGAGATTTAACTAAGAAACGATGAAATTTCTCCCAGGTACAATCTTCTTTTTCATCTTTATGTATATGAATTTGATATTGTTCATAAATTTTATGGGATAATTTTATACGAGATTCATAATTGATATCTGTTGGTGTAGATGTACGTATTAAACGAATCTGTAATATAAGAATCATTAATTACAAAAGAATATTACTATTATTATCATTATTATATGCAAAGATTGATAAACATGAAATGAGTGTAATCAAAATAGTAATGTGCTTTATCAATGCTTCAAACATTTATCTTAACTCCACCTATAGCTCTTCTAGAGTTACTGCCGGTCCTAAACCCGGGTAAAGGAGAACGGTTAGGCATGCGGTTAGCGACCCCATCCCGTAGAAAACTAACTCGCTAAAAAACGCAAACATTTACTTTACATGTTAGAAAGATAGAGTCCTGAATATATATATATATATATATATATATATATATATATATATATATATATATATATATTGCATTTCAGCCCTGACCGTTGTTGCTACCTTGACGTGGTGGTCGGGCTTGCCTATCGTGATGAAGCAACTGAGCTATACTGGCTGGAACAACCGTTCCTCAAGGTCATACCATGCCAGACAGGTCGGTTGAAGAGCGGTAAGACTAAAAGCAACAAAACCAAGGTCCGAAGGCGAAGTCGTACTGCTGACTGTACAGAGGTGTGACAGCAGTAAGGTGTTTCCTTCAGACAACCAGCATAACAGCGATGCTGCCTTCCCACAAGGAGGGGTGGGGTTAGAAAAGGTCGACCCTAAAAATGCACACCTCGCCTTATCCCACGGATATCCGTCTCCGGCGGTAAGGACTCAACAAGTACGGAGCTAACACAAAAATCACTCATAAAAAGGTCGTGTGTGACCGACCTCAAGCAGCTGTCCCTTGGGCACTGCGGTCACGCTCTCAGGTCACTATGACCAACTCTAATCCAATTTCCTTTTCAGGTACCTCCAGAAGAACCCTTCCACGGTGTGGGCAACCGGGAAGTGATAACCGCCCTCATACCTCTAACAGCACTCAAGACCACTGTATTCATAGTCAACCTCCCTCTTCAATTCCTATTATTCCTCCTACATCGACTTTATACACTAAACTTCCTCTTTTAGCTTCCTCCTCAAGTGTCACCACAGCCAACGATTCTAGTGCTCAAAACACTGTCCCAGGTCTACTGAAACCTCGCTCCAAACTATACATTGGAGCCTTTAACATACGCACACTATGCCAAATCGGTCAGCAGGCTTCCTTGGCTAAAACCTTAGAATCTCGTACCATTGATGTATGCTGTGTCTCCGAAACACGCATACAGGATCCTAGTGTGGTCATTCACTTGACCTCACCTCGGCAAAACGGAGAGCCAACGAGATACACCCTCCGTGTATCTGGCGACCCGATGGCTAGTTCTCGTGGACTGGCAGGTGTAGGCATAGCACTTAGCATGAGGGCGGAACAAGCGCTATTAGAGTGGATCCCCGTTAACAGTCGTCTATGCGCTGTTCGGCTAAACGGCTCCGTAAGAACTCGGAAGGATAGGGACACACGTCGTTGCCTTTTCGTCGTTTCTGCCTACGCTCCCACTGACTGCAGTTCGGATGAAGTGAAAGATGAATTTTACAGAAAGCTGTCTGAACTTCTTCAGAAAGCTAAACGTTCAGACATAGTACTCGTAGGAGGTGACTTTAATGCCCAGGTAGGTAGCTTAAACAAAACAGAAAGACATTTAGGTGGGTATTTTAGTATTCCGGCACAGCGAACAGATAATGGTGATCGCCTGCTGCAGCTGTGCTCAGACAATCGTTTATTTTTAGCAAACACAAATTTTAAGCATAAGGAGAGACATCGTCTAACATGGCGACCCCCTGCACCAAACCAACGATGGACTCAAATAGACCATATTGCCATCAGTCATCGTTGGAGAGGGTCAATAGAAGATTGTCGCTCATTCTGGGGTACCTGCTTGGACTCTAATCATGCCCTAGTACGAGCACGCATCTGCTTGCGCCTCACTGGACGCAAAAGAGCCACACAAAAAAGACTCATTAGAACCGAATTGAGTAATGAGAAAGCCAAAAGTAGGTTCCAGGAACAACTGAGGTCACACTTAGGTAATTCTGAAAACGAGACTGACCCAGATGTTGCTTGGAAAGTTATACAAGCAGCTGTGAAAACAGCAGTGACATCTACCAGTGATTTAAACCAAATGGTTACAAAAAACCAATGGATTTCGTCAAGGTCTATTGCACTGATAGATTCTCGCAAACTCATCCCATCAGGTTTTGAATACGATGAAGAGCGTAAAGAAATCAAATCTAGATTAAGCAAAAGTCTAAGGAACGATCGTGAGCAGTGGTGGGCAACGAAAGCAAAAGAGATGGAAAAGGCGGCGGCTATAGGGAACACAAGACAACTCTACAGACTAATAAAAGAAACTGGAATTAATAAATCAAGTGTAAGTCAGACCATTTCGGAAAAAGACGACACTCTCATCTGCTCCCAGTCCAGACGCCTAGAACGATGGGCGGAACACTTTAAGGAGCAGTTTAGCTGGCCTTCAGCTACTCTACAACTACCCTCTATTCCCAGACAGTGTGAATGGAACATTGAAGTAGGTCCCCCAACTCTAGCTGAAGTTCAAAAGGCTATAGCTAATCTGAAACGAGGAAGGGCAGCTGGTCCAGATCGATTGGCCCCAGAGGTCTTTAAGGATGGTGGTCTAGTTTTAGCGATTAGGTTGACTAATATTTTAGCTAAAATCTGGGAGTTAGACGTTATTCCATCTAACTGGTCACAATCACTTATCGTCCCAATATTTAAGAAAGGGTCAAAATCATCCTGTGACAACCACAGAGGGATTAGTTTGACTAATATAGTATCTAAAATACTAGCTTCGATAATTTTCGGACGCCTAACTAAGACTCGTGAACTGCAAACACGTGAAAATCAGGCTGGCTTCAGACCTGGTCGTGGCTGCATCGACCACATATTCACCATTCGTCAGGTTCTAGAACACAGGCATACTTATCGGCGTCCGACAATGGTGGTATTCCTTGACTTAAAAGCAGCGTTTGACTCTGTTGACCGAGAGGTTCTGTGGCAGTGTCTGTCATTGAAAGGCGTACCTCAGAAGTACATAAACCTTGTGAAGGCTCTTTACTCGAACACTACTAGTCGGGTCAGAGCCTATGGCGAACTGTCATCTGCTTTTGCAACCTCAAGTGGCGTCCGTCAGGGCTGTCCACTTTCTCCTTTTTTGTTTAACTTTATCATAGACATCCTGATGGAAATAACGCTCTCATCGACTGAATTCTCGGGTATTGATCTCCTACCACGAGGTCCACTTATTGACTTAGAATACGCAGATGACATAGTCCTGTTTGGTGAAGACGCTGATGAAATGCAGAGTCTTTTGGTAGCACTGAGCAACAATGCTAGAATGTTTGGGATGCGCTTTTCTCCCTCTAAATGCAAGTTGTTGCTTCAGGACTGGTCTGCATCAACACCTGAACTAAGGATAGGGGGTGAAGTAGTCGAACGCGTTGACAACTTCACTTATCTTGGAAGTCTGATCAGCCCTAATGGGTTGGTGTCTGACGAAATCTCAGCACGGATTCGAAAAGCTCGTTTGGCCTTTGCCAACTTACGTCATCTATGGCGAAGGCGAGATATCCGTCTATCAATTAAGGGACGAGTATACTGCGCGGCAGTTCGTTCCGTCCTTCTATACGGCTGCGAAACTTGGCCTTTAAGAGTAGAAGATATTCGTAAGTTACTAGTATTTGACCACAGGTGCCTTAGAAATATTGCGGGTGTCTGCTGGGATCACCGGGTAAGTAATAGTGAGGTTAGACGCAGGGTATTAGGGAATGATGGTAAATCAGTTGATGAGGTTATGAATCTTCATCGACTGAGATGGTTGGGCCACGTGTTGCGTATGCCTGAACACCGATTACCACGACGCGCAATGCTGACTAGTGCAGGGGATAATTGGAAGAAAGTTAGGGGCGGCCAAACCAAAACGTGGCATCAGTGCTTGAAGTCACTAACTTCTGGTCTGAGCCATGTTGGGAGATTCAGACTGCCTGGTTGGGGTCCGCGTGACTATCGTAACCAATGGTTGGAGACTCTTGGTGACAATGGCGTCGGTGTATACACTCTCTGTCTTCCTTAAATTAAGAGATTAAAATCGCTTCATATCTGTCTAGGAACTAATTCTTTCTTCCTATAGTATCTCCTTATACACAATCTTTCTTCTATATATTACCACCACTGAATTAACTACTCCTATGAATCCGGTGTTCATCTTGTTGTGCTAATGCGGTATGGCAACTTGGACCGATGCATATATGTGCCTGGTCCTACGTTGCAGCTGACTGACTGACTGATTGCATTTCAGCATCAGGATCAAATTGGAATGAGCTTGTTGGTCGATTTTCAAACAATCAGAGTTAGTGAATAAGTTTAAAGGATACTAGAAGATTCTTGTGAAAATCTTGTATATACACTTCATAGTTAGGATTATTGAAATATACGGGGTTCCCACCCGATTCTAGTCATAATTCGGAAATAGCAAAGTGAAATATAATACCTAACGAATACTAAACAATACAAAAGTGGATTATTACTCTTTCAACTAAAGTGAAAACCCTACAAGTTTAAACTACTTCAATTTGAATGGCATGATAATAGTAATGATAGCAGTTACTCATAAGTAATATGTAACCTTGTACAAAGATGTATCATTTACTATACTGTATATGTGTTACGCATCTCTAACCAACGCCAAACTGGAACGTATAATACTAGCTAATGTGAGAGTATATTGGAAGAAATATATGGGTTCCTAAATGAAAACATGATATTTGTTTATGGAAGCTAATGACTTGAGGTTTGCTCATTGACCATAATCAATAGAGTAGCAAACATTCGATAACATGTATCAAAATCTGAATTCATTTTAAGCAACAGATAACATAATATAACTAACTTGTTCCACATAATAATATAATTACCATATTTCAATAAAAAATAAATGACTCTTATTAAATATTTTGTTGTCAAACACCTCAAAAATCAATAAAATATAGATATTAGACCACCATTGAAAACCTGGAAGCACTGGACGGCCGTTTCGTTCTATTGTGAAATTCCTCAGCAGTGCGCATCCACGATCCCGCTCGCGGGATTCAAACCCAGGGCCTTCAGTCTCGGTGGTGGTCTAACATCAATCGGTTCATGATCTCAATCAAAAACTTGACAATCTCCACAACACCTAAATTGATAATTACAATGTGCTCACTAGTGACTAGATTCGTGGGAAAATTCTCGGAGTTCTGGTGAGAAGTCGTGACCAGTGGAGCTAATCCGTGTCGGGTAGAAACAAGTGTCTACCTCAGTACAATGGAAGATGGTCGCGCAACTTGAAGGATTGGTTGAAGTTAGACATTAACACCGTTGGATGCCGGCTCAGTGGTCGAGTAGGTCAAGCGTTCGCGCGCGAGACCGAAGGCCCTGGTTTCGAATCTCGAGAAGAGGGATCGTGGATGCGCACTGCTGAGGAGTCCCACAATAGGACGAAACGGCCGTCCAGTGCTTCCAGGTTTTCAATGGTGGTCTAACATCAATCGGTTCATGATCTCAATTAAAAACTTGACAATCTCCACAACACCTAAATTGAAAATATAGATACTTAGAGAATCAGATGACATGTACTCTACACCTTCCAAAATTAAAGTACTTTTACAAAGCTGGTAAGAGCATGTATCTGCATTCACGGTTTGTAGTGAGCCGTTAGAAATAGTTGAAAAGTTCATATATCTGGGCAGTTGTGTGTCATAGTAGTGGTGTATCTAATGAAATCAATCCATGCAAAGTGAAAGCTAAAGAGATGTATGCCAATCTGTATCATATTTGATTCGTTGTAAAATGTCGGGCTTAAAACGCATCGCTAGGAGTATTTCTGCACAATGTTTGTGAAACTCTCTCTTAAAGATGAAGATTTTAGGTGACTCTCTGTGTTTGATAGTTTTCGTCGCTGATATACGATGGCAACACTCTTTTAGTCATTTACAGGTTCATCAATGTGTTCGTGCACAGTTACAATAATTCGACTGGTGTTGCAGTCGTGATACATTAGTTTCAGTAGCTTGGACATGTTTTAATAATTAGAGTTAGAGTTTTCATCACGAAATGCTATTTAGATGCTATATAGATGATTAGACATCGCACCAAAATCGGAGACTCACCATCTTAAACCTGATCGGGTCATCCATAATTTATAGTCTTGCCGAAGAGTGTCACTGACCAAGACATAGTACCAAGTATGTTAAGCGACTATATTAACTAGTAACCAAATAAATTTAAATGGTAGTCTATAACTTTAAAGGTAGTCAATGAGTTCACAGACTAACGCAATGTCTTGATATACTCGACTCTAACTTACTTCCAACCTACTCGTACACCAATAAATATTACTTATCGAGGTAATCTGAGGTTAGGAATACAGAACACATATCCCAATCGCTTCAGTCGATGGAGATTTACAACCTCATTAACCGATTTGTTACATTTGCCTGATATTCTGGCATATATTAGCCAATACGAATCAACCATCAAAATAATCCCCATACACCAACTCACAAGTTTTTTTCAGCAATTTAAAAAGAAAATTAATTTACTAAACATTGGTTTATTTATTTATTTGAATACATAAATATTGGTACAAAGGAGCACCAAATACATGTACATCACACAAATCTCATTTGATTGGTGAGTGGGCTGTGATACTGTTCGGATGCCCAAACCGAAGCAAGTGGTTTTCTTAGGCCACACCCAGAGCCTTCAACCTAAATGTTTGATCCACAAGGCAGTGGAGAAAAGTCAGAAGGTGAAGTCCCAAGGTAGCCGGTGACCAACAATATGTTCATACACCATTTGTTCACTCAGGATACTGGACTCCATGTGCACCATTGGTTTGGAATAAGGGTTTTCGAACTCCCTTAGGTGGATTGCCCATATCCACCGACCCGGTTAAAGCGCCGGACACTCACTTTTCGTCTTCTAAGTTTCGTAAACAACACCCACACCGCGAGAAGGCAGTGAGTAGGACTTCCCTGTTAGTGGCTGTATACGCGTGGCCATGTGAAAGCAATTGGAGAGGGAGAGCTGACTCTCCTCACCCTCGGTCATACCAGGGCGTTCGGCAGCAGTAAACAGCAGAAATTGAAAATATTGATTATGATCTTCAACTACTGGGGGTAATAAATATCATTATCTTTAGTGAAGTAAACTCTAAACACACAGAGAGAGAACACTTATGTCGGAACGAATCTCATTGTCTTGGACGTAAGTGTGAAAACTTAACTTTTAATGTTTATGGCATATATACAATAAATCTCTAAAATTCAGGGAATCTGTGAGAGTCTATATTCCAGTGGAACTGTTGTCCATGATTATATTTGAATTTCAATGTCTAAATGATGAATGAGTGAACGTGAACTACACAAGAGAATTTGACCACAAGCGAATTGATATGAAAATAAAAAACAGTATAAGATTTGAATTAATGGGTGGCGAGTTCGAAACCCAGATGTTTGCACAAACTACAAACCAATTGAAGAATTCCAGAATAAAGTGGAGTAAATAATTAGAAATTCCATGGATTAGTGGTATAAATATTCCATTAGCAAAAAAAAACGAAAATTTGAACACATACTTCGATAAAGTGCTTTCCTTCTCCTTTGTTTGGTTCAGATTGTAGAAAATCTTCGACTTGCTTTGGTTTATTTTTATCTAAACGTTTCTGACGTCTTTCATAGTACTCCTGTTAGCAAAAACAACAATAAATGAGAAACATTTGAAAAATTTCCACAATGAAAATTGTTTGTTTTTAGTTAGTTATCAACACCTACAATTGGTTGATTTTTGGAGTAGTGATCAATGTCATGTTTGTGTGGTCCTCTAATACTAATTGAATTATATCGATTAAGTCACAATGTGATCACGTGCACCATATTGGTATATCAGGTGATTGAAAGTGTTCAACAGGAGACCGTGAAATAGAATCCGATCAGCACCAAGAAAGGATTGACGAACACGATATTCGTCACTGCTCAGTGACCGACAAATCGTAAATATCTCAGTCCTACAGGTTAGCCGCGATCTTAATAAACTAGTATTAAAGTCTCAGACCGTAAAGCTGAATGAAACGGGATCGAATCTGAGACGGGGTATCATTTCCCTCCAGATTACAGCTACATCTCTCTGATGGGCATCAAACAGTGCAAAACCCATACTCAAGTGGCTCTGAGGCGTGTAACCCAAAGACTTCAACAACTGATCTTGATCGTATGTGGATGGAAACTACTCATAGTGATATATAGTTAACTTAACTAAAGTAGGTGAAGTAGCGTATGAAACCAACGACCCAATAGTTGAAAGCTAGATGGTTTAAACTCTAAAGTATAACTCGCACACAAGCATGCGCAGAACAAAACAGTTGCCTAGTACACTGTTACCGCATATTATAGTCTCTTGATTTATCTTAAAATATTTCCGCAGTCTATATGTACGTCTTCATGATGTACGTTTGTTTACACTAAGATAAAAAGGTTCCAATGTGATTACTCAATAGTTGACAATGAATAACACATTACAGAGACTCCCCAACCAGCAAGTAAAATAAAACACCAGTAAAAAGAACTGTTACTCTCACTTCGAACCGTTTAAACATATACTTTCCATGATTTATTTACATTGGTAAGCATACACAACTACTCATTGTACTCAGTTCAAGTTAAGTGCACAATCGTAATGTTATATTTAGTGTTGGTCTTATTAAACATAAAAGTTTTGTACTTTATATCAAAGACTGATGAACAGAGTTAAAACTGTAGATTATTTAGTTACAAGTCGTGTGTTTACAGTATACAGTTGGTTAAACAATCTATTTGTCAACTGCTATATGGCAACTTGGACCGATGCATATATGTGCCTGGTCCTACGTTGCAGCTGACTGATTGACTGACTGTCAACTGACATCTTTAATTTCACAACATTAAATTAATTTATAATATCTTCTTTTGAAAAATTTACTATAAAATATTACCTGAAGTAAAATTTCAAATGAACGATTTTCTTTTAAGCTTCTATGACGTAAATGTTCTTGTTTAGCTATCCAACGACGAAGATGTGCTTTCATTTTGTGACTGCCATGAGATGATGAACTTTGAATTTTATCACCTGATGAAATACTTTGAAATTCCACATTATTATTATTATTACTATTATCATTTGATGTATTAAATGTATAATGTGATGTACTAGTGGCGTTTTCTGTTGATGACGTTATTTTATCACTGAAACAATCTGTTTGAGATATATTTGTTTGGCTTTTAGTTTTCTGTTCATTTTGTTGAACTGTGGTAACTGTTTAACATTGAATTGTTAAGCATAAACAATAATTAGTGTGAAGGGTATTTAGAAATTGTTAAATTTGTAATTTTACATCAAGGACCGACTTTAGTTAGACAACTTAACGTTTTTTTTAATTTTGATATCATGTGAGGTGATATTGTTACGTCAGATATGGTCAAGATAAAGTTTGAGACTAGTCTGTGTCAGCCCAAGTAGCCACATTGCATTGACACAGCAAGATGAATAGCAAACGTCGAAATCATAGTAGCAATGAAGATTAAATGTTGGGAAATACAACCAAAAAAAAAGAGGATGAATTTAAAAATTAAAGAGTATCTCGGAACTCAATATCTAAAGGAAGACACAGTGAATGCAAAAGCAACATTAAAATCAATTCTGCGACATGTCACCCGATCTCTTCAACTACTAATCTCAGTTATTAGGCGGACTCACACCAGGTTATCTGAACATGCCAATATCACTCAGCTCAATAGTCAATCGTTTTATGGACTGATATCATGTCTAGATCTGAGCAACCCTAGATTTAATCCAACTTGCTACTACTACAGGCAAAATTGCACGTCGAGGTAAGTAGTGATTGGACGCATGTATGTTTTCAATGACTATGGAATAACTGCTACACTGTGATTTAAGAAAACAGAATGATTTGAAGAATAGGACCTATAGACACAAGTTCATATAATAGTCAAGGATTTCTGATATCTTCATTAAAATCGTCATGCGTAATTTTACCACACCTAATATTATGACTGACGACTGACACTGGTATGTTTATAATTAAAACAATGATAGCAAGATAATACATATAATTACTAACATAAATATAATAATCAACTTACCATTTTCAAGTGATAAAACAGGCATCGTTTTTTCCTCAGGAACAAACATACGATGATCATCCGTTCTAAGATTATTAAGATCCTCTTTTTGATTAGACAGTTTTTCATGAGGTAACTGTCCAAATTTTAAAAAATTGTACATATTTTTCAACACTCTTTTATGTGATCTTTTTAAACGGAAATGTAATGCATCACATCGAATAGTATATGATGGACAACAAGTAATATCATTTAAAGGTTTATAACAGTAAGTACCTGATCTGTAAGTGATTATATCGACAATTGGAAAAAATAACATACCGACGCCATCCTCGATCGATCATATATTGATAATCTGAAACAGTAAGTCGTTCAGCCATCATACCTTTAATAAAATAAACATATTAATACGTGTTTTTTCTAAAAAAAATTTAGTATTACCCCAATTAGTCTTTTTGTCGTCGGAACTATTTTTACAATAACCACACTGTCCTGAAGAATGAGATCCATATGGGATGACTAAACTAGGATTGGTACAAAGTTCCATTTTCTAAAATAAAATACATTAAATTAACTCCATATACATAGATATCGACATAAAGAATTTGCCACACCTATTTATCAAAACAAACGAGAACATCAGCCCCCAAACGCCCTGATATGATCAGCGTCGAGGAGAGTCAGCACTCCCACTACAAATGCTCTCACATACAGCCACTACCAGGGAGGTACTACTCACTGCCTTCTCGCGGTGTGGGTCATGTTTACGAAACTGAGAAGACGAAAAGTGAATGTCCGGAGCTTTAACAGGGTTGATGGATATGGCCCATCCATCTAAGGGAGTTCGAAAACCCTTATTCCAAACCAATGGTGAGTAAGAGCTCCAGAGTCCCAAAAGAACGGATGGGACCTATTGTTGATCACCAGCACCTATGGGACTGCATCTCCTAACGTTGCTCTACTGCCTCGTAGATTAGACCTCTAGGACAATTTATTTATTTTAACACATAAGTATAGGTACAGGGAGGCACCAAGTACATATGCGCCACACGAATCTCAATTGACTTGTGTGAGGGCTGTGATACTGCCCGGGTGCCCAAACCGAAGCAGGTAGTGTTCTTAGGGGGCCACACCCCGAGCCTTCGACCTGAACGTCTGACCCACAAGGCAGTAGAGCATCGTAAGGAGATGCAGTACCATAGTAGCCGGTGACCAACGATTGGTTCATACGCCATTTGTTCCCGCAGGATACTGGAGCCAGCCCATGTGCAACATTGGTTTGGGGTCCGGTTAAAGCGCCGGACATTCGCTTTTCGTCCTCTCATTTTTGTAAACAACACTCCCGTCACGAGAAGGCAGTGAATAGGACTTCCCTGGCAGAGGCTATATACGCATGGCCATGTGAGAGTATTTCGAGAGGGAGAGCGGACTCTCCCCACTCTCGGCCGTACCAGGGCATTTGGGGGCACCTCTAGGACAAATGGGTCGGGGAGCAGCTCCCTAAGAGAACCACCTGCTTCGGCTCAGGCACCCGGGCAGTACCACAGTCCTTACATGCAAATCAAGTGACTTGTGTGATGTATATGTATTTGGTGCTCTCTTGTACCAATGTTTGTGTCCAAATAATAATACTAATCAGTTTAAAGCGAACAAATATATGAAAAATTGATAGAATTTAGAGAAAGATATGAAATGGGTATATGAGTGATAGTGGCGTCGATTTGTACCCACATTCGAAACTAAGTATATTCTTCAATATTCCAACGTTTTGTAAATGCCCTATTATGTTTGGCATTATAGCTGATGTTAGTTAGTGATGAAAACCCTAAATCTAATTTTTAACCCTAACCATCAATTGTACACGAAAATTCTAACTGTTTTATAACCCTCATTAAGTCCTTATCAGTAGGTGTCCACTCTCAAGGTCACTTCAACGTCGCTCAAAGGTCGACCATAAATTATAGTCTCACCGTACATATATATTTACAATAGCTGATCTTTTTCAAAATCCAAGTGATGAAGACACCATTTCTCATTTAAAACGCTTTTATCGCGCCAATTCCTCATAGTTTTACCCGCTTTTGTTAAGTAAATATTCTTAAAACTAAAACTAACCTCGAATGCATAGAGCACGTTGAACCGACCTAGGTATAGCAGGTAAACCCTGGTATGCATTGATGCTTTGTTTGAACTGGAGAGAATTCTTCATGAACAAATATATTTGTGGATTACTAAGCGTATACGCTCAGTAATCCACACATTAATTACATCTTTTCTCTTTTTCGGAATGGTTAAAGAATCATATCTATCAGTAAAAATGTTGACATTTAATTATCACCTGTATATACAGGCAAAAACTATAGCTATCGACTATTTATTGAACTAGTCTGTTAATTACACCAAAACTCAACCACTTAGAATGTTAAAATTAGGGAAAAAATAGACAACTCAGAGGAAATTCCCGGGGGGAAAACAATACAGTAGTAATATTACTACTTCCCTAAAATATTTTAGGGAAGGTCGAGTAGTTAATTTCTAGACATTTCCAATTGACAGAGAAACTCACAAAAAATCTATCATTCCCGTCAGTTTGGGAAAAAGACCACAACTTAATGTATTTTCGCCCATATACATAGCGACATATCTTAAGGAATTTCCCTAGTATTTCTCCATTATTAGCCCTCCTTATTATTAGTCAAGTATCAAGTTACATTTCGTACGCCTCATGACCCAGAATCCACTTGCATACTTCTGCTTATTCAGTAGCGTCCTTTAGGTAGCTAACAAGTAATGTAAACTGTACAACACACTTCTAACCCTTGTAACGCAGAAGACGTAGAACGCGCTTACATTGAGGTCAGATCAGTCATGTGATATATATCAGATTCATATTTATGTATTCAGAACAGAAGGCTTACAGCCCGTGTCAGTCTTTTTCGGTGACATTCTAAGAGTGTTTAGTCTTCTGTTTACTAAGTTTTCCGAAGTGAGATACCACTTTTTCGGGTGAAATGGTTCTAATTGATGATTCAGTGTGTATATCTGCATGTCATGGGTATTTTGTTCATTCCTGGCTTTTTTTCTTGCCTGTTATGTCCTCTAAGTTGCCCTAATTTATTAGAAAGAAAGGGAGGATAATTCAGGTCCAACTCATTTCTTGGTATTCTGTATATCAAAATCAGATCACCTCTTAATCCTTAGTAGGACGAGGTATGAGGTCCAGCTTCTGAAACCTCACCTGTGTACTAAACCCAAGGATTCTGAAAATGCACAAGTAGCCGTCATTTTTTGCTTTTTTTAGAATATTCGAGTCGTTTTTATAACAGGGCCTTGCAGCCTGAATTCAGTTTTCAAGTTTGAATCACATTAATGTTGTGTATATTGTAGTGAACATGTTAGCCTCTAACTTAATAAATGTCCGTCTTAAAGATCATAGGTCATGAAACCCTTAGCTGCTATCACACGGTAGTACAGTAGAATTGAGGACTCAACCATACTTAAGAGTTTGTAGCGTGGTGTCGAGTTGAGCTTGACTATGAACACCGCTACCAGACTACGTGCCAATAGACCAATAAGATTCCGGTAGGCCAAAAATCAGAAGGCAGATAATAGTAGTAGTCGTAATATATTTGTTGGCAATCTCGTGGTATCGAAAGAATACCGAGATCGTGCCAAAGGAGTATAGGTGCGATCGGCAAGAAAAGATACGTGCGTAGTCGAAAACCGCGTAGAAGCAATGGAATACAATGGAAGACTAAAATGGCTGTTATTAGCACAGTTAAACAAACGAGCACAGTAAAACAGTCACTGGTACAATCGGTTACAATAATAATTGTTTTCATTGAACCAATCGCGTTCTGTTAACAAAAGTAGGTCACTACAGGAGCCCCCCGCTAGAAAGGGTTTACACTTTCGATAGTTAGCGGTTTGATTCGTGGGACTGATCGGCAGATGTGCGGTTGTAGGACGAAGGAAATTGGCGGAACAGGAAGTGATCGTTGATCCTCGAGTTGCCAACGAACGTCTTTTGCGCAGAACGGTACCAGAAGTGTGCTGTATTTGTTGGTCGAATTAGCATACTACACCAGAGTGGTTTGTATCCAGGATCTGATGATTGCGTTCGTAGGGATGCGAACCAGAAAACGCTGCAGACGTAGAACGAAACCACGTTGAGCCAAGAAACCGGACGCGACCATAACGACCAAGCGTATGCCAGGCGAATTCGAGACCAGATAATCGACTGAGTGCGTTGACTAGAGCGTGGGTGGCCAAACCAGCTTTTGCCAAAGTTGACTGAAGTCGACGTTATCAAATGGGCGATGGTCGGAGGCGTGGGCTCAGGATACAAAAAGAAATCAAAAAAGAAAAGTGTAGCATGCGTGTAGTATAGGAATAATCCTACACCGTATCCGTTATTGACTGTGCGTTTAGTCGCGAAAGCGTACGGGTAATCGTACTCGGCGACCGGAACGTGAGACGGTGGTCTCGTTCGTGCTTCGTGAGCCTGCGATCTCATCCGAGGTCAAGGGCGGCGTGGTCTGCTGATCTGCACATGAGACGGAAGTCTCGTCCGTAGATGGTGAAGATGACGCGTGCTGTTGACCGGGACGTGAGAACGAGGTCTCTGATATATCTAGCGTGGGATCCGAGGTAGACGTAGAGATCCTGCTAGAAGGTTTGATAGGTCTAACATTGAGTCTCAAGTTATCGGGTAGGGCACTGTCATCGACGTGTGCTGGTTTGAGACGATCAATGCTGACGATCTCGACGCGGCCGTGTCGATCAACCTTGAAGGTCTTTTCGTGACGAGAGATCACGTGAAAAGGGCCTTCGTAAGGCTGTTGTAGAGGTTTGCGTACCGAATCTACTCGTATGAAAGCATGTGAACAGGTAGATAACTCTCGAGGGAGAGCGACCTGTTGATGTTATATTCGAGTTGACACCGGAGACAGCGTTCGCATAAATGCAGACAGTCGATGGACGTAGTCTGATTTACCGAAATCATTACTGCTCCGTGGTGTGAAGAATTCCCCAGGCAGACGGAATGTCGTGTCGTATACAAGTTCAGCGGCGGAACATTGTGTAACTGCCTTCAAACTCGTTCTGATGCCTAAGAGAACGAGCGGTAAGGTTTCGTACCAATTGTCGTTTTCGTGTGCTCGGAGAGCACTTTTAAGTTGACGATGAAACCGTTCGACTAAACCATTCGATGCTGGATGGTAGGCGGTAGTGCGTATGCGTTCCGTACCAAGCAGCCGGGTCAGTGAGGAGAATAATGCGGACTCAATTTGTTGTCCTCGGTCAGTCGTGACAGTCGAGGGACAACCGTACAATGCTATCCATCGTTCTACGAAGCGGTGAGCAACTGTCTCCGCCGTGATAGACGTGATGGGAATAGCTTCGGGCCATCTTGTAAAACGGTCGATGCACTTGAGTATGTGATCATACCCATGCGATGGTGGCAATGGTCCTACAATGTCTAAATGTACGTGATCAAAGCGAGCATCAGGCGTAGCGAACGTACCAATCGGGGCAGCTACGTGCCTGTGCACTTTTGATCGTTGACACTGTAAGCATTGCTTTACCCACATACGAACATCTTTATTCATGGACGGCCAGACGTATCGTGCAGCGATGAGGCGTAATGTGGTTGCGATACCTGGATGAGACAATCCATGAAGGGCATCGAAGACGAGACGGCGATAGGTAGAGGGTACGATGGGTCGAGGAAGACCGGTAGAAATATCACATAGGATAGTACCTGAGCTAGTAGCTAGGGGTACTTCCTGACACTGAAGGGACGAAGATTGTGGTGCTTCTGTACAGACAGGATCGTTTGCTTGTGCGGCCGCCATAGCAGGAAGATCGAGCACCGGTAAGGTAACTGCATTCGTCTGGATACGTGAAAGAGCATCGGCAACATAGTTCGACTCGCCTTTAATGTGACGAAGGTCTGTCGTGAACTGTGAGATATAGTCCAAATGTCTGCACTCTCGTGGTGAGTAGCGGTCAGACTTGGTATGCAGGGCATACGTTAAGGGCTTATGGTCGGTGGATAAAATGAATTGGCGTCCTTCTACTGCGTGCCGGAAATGTTTGATGGCGCAGTAGGCTGCAAGCAGCTCGCGACCAAAAGCGCTATATCTCGTCTCCGTGGGAGTAAGGCGTCGTGAGAAAAATTCGAGGGGTTGCCAACTACCGGAGATATTCTGTTGCATAACGGCTCCTATGGCAAAATCCGATGCATCAACCGCTATACTAAGCGTGGCTGATGGGTCAGGATGAGCGAGGAGTGTAACTTCGGCGAGAGCCGTTTTGATCTCTGAGAATGCAGTACGTGCGGTATCGTTCAGTTCTAATTTGCGTGGATTACCGCGTAGTAAATCGGTTAATGGTCGTAACCGTTCTGCCGCGTGAGGAATAAAACGTCGGTAGAAGTTAACCAAACCGAGAAAAGCCTTCAGTTCCTTGATTGAGGACGGCACGTTGTACTCCTTGATTGCTCGAACTTTGTCCTCGCAAGGCAGAATACCCTCTTGTCTGATGATGTGACCCAGAAATATTATTTCTGATTTACCCAACTCACATTTCTCTGGGTTGACTACTATTCCATTATCCGAAAGACGTTGGAATAATAGCGTAAGGTGTTGATAATGTTCATCTACGTTTGATGATGCGATCAGCAGGTCATCAATATAGACGTGAACAAAATCCAAGTCTCGTACTATGCTATCGATAAACCTTTGGAAAGCTTGAGCAGCATTCCGTAATCCAAATGGCATTCGTAGGAACTCAAACAGACCGAACGGAGTCGTGACAGCAGTTTTTTTGATGTCTTCAAGAGCGACTGGGATCTGGTGATATGCTCGTACCAGATCGATTTTAGAAAAGATAGTCGTGCCCTTGAGAGATGCCGTGATGTCGTGTATGTGGGGGATGGGGTAGTTATCAAAGCGCGTAACTACGTTTAATGCTCGGTAGTCGCCGCATGGTCTCCAACTAACCTCATCCTTTTTGCGCACCATGTGTAAAGGAGAGGCCCAAGGACTGTGAGAAGGACGAATAATACCAGAAGATAGTAAATTGTCAAACTCACGTTTAGCGAAAGCTAATTTGTCCGGTGCCAGTCGGCGTGGTCTTCCGTGACTGGTGGTCCGCGGGTGACTATGTGGTGTACCACACGATTGGTCACCCATGAAATCTCCTCGAGTGGTTTAGTTATTCTGGGGAATTTCTCGAATAAGGCGTGGAATTTATCGTCACGCGAATAAAAAATGCCGAGGATTCGGTACGCGTTTGTGTGAGCTTTAAAGCCCATGAATTTACTGTTCGACGAAGTATCGATTAGCTGCAGCCTACGTGAATCGACTAGCAATTCATAGTGCTGTAGGAAATCAATACCTAGTATGGCTGTGGGAACATCAGCAATGATGAACGTCCACAGATACCGTCGTCGGTTGCCCAGGTTGACCGCGAGTTGTCGTGTACCGTAGGTAGGAATGGCTGAGCCATTTGCAGCGCGTAGTCGAAGCATTGTAGCTTGTGACTTAATGCTACCTCGTGGTACGACAGAAACTTGGGCACCTGTATCCACTAGGTACCTAGCGTTTGTGCGATAATCGTGCACGTAAAATAAACGGCCAACCTGGGGGGCAGGGCCGGCGAGTACGGCCGCTTTTACTCGCCGGCTTTGGAGTTTCCTGCCTTGTATGAGCACGGTGCTCGACAACGGCGGGCACCAGATCCGAAGGATCGATGAAACCAGCACCAACCTTCACTCGCTTCCGAAGCCGCCTTTTGGCGTGGCTTAGAAGATGCCCTCGTTGGGCGAGTGT